GGCGGCCACTCCGGAAAATTATTACTTACTTTCTGATTAGTTGATGCCTTCTGAAACTGTTGGAAGGAGGGGGAGAACGTGTGCGAGTTTGACCAGTTTTCATCTGTTGCCCGGTGTGTTCTCATTTGGAATAGGGTTTAGTTTATTTTGGAACTCGAGAAATGTTATATTTTTTTTTTTAAAAGAAAACAATGAACCAAAAACTATTGTATTGAAAAAAATATTATTGTTACTCATTATTATTGGACTATTTTTATTACGTGTATGTCTATTATAAATTCAAAACAATTTTAAATAGAAAATACAAATTTTTAGTATGTAATTTTTAATAATAATAAAAAAATCTACTTTAAATTATACATTAATAAATTTAATTTTCTGGCTTTTTAAAAAAAAAAAAAACTTTATTTATAAATTTTAATAACAACAAACATGTTCATTTTTAACCCGTGTTATTTTTGGTCAGTCACAGGTCTGCCAAGATGAGAAGAAGAAAGTTAGACTAAAATAATATATCACAATGATTTAATGTCACTTGCTCAAACGCATTACAATTTTTTCAAATTAAAAATTGCAACACGCCTACCCGTTTGTTAAAACTAAGTGGCTGTCGATATTTATATCTAATTCTATCCAGTAAAGGAGTAAATGATTAGCTATTCCTACTACATGAACCGATCATAAGAACCGGGTTGTTGAACTGATGCAAATAAAATTTTCTAAGTTATACTTTACAGGTCCTAGAAACTTATGACCTGCACTCATAAACTAACACAATAAAAACGATATTATAGTAACGTATTACAAGGTTTATTTAAATGACTCAATATTAATATAAATACACAGTACACTATCATCTGAGTAACCCTGTTCTTGAGGGTAGTATTTTGAAGATTAAAGATTTAGCGGAGTACGAGTTGAAGTGATTTAATAAATTATAATTTATCTATAAGGTAGGTTATTATATCTATAGTAAATCAAATTAAAAAATGTTACTTCAAAATATAGAGACTGCTGTTGTCTCTATTTCACGAACCAAACTCGACTTAATACCATAAATGATTTGTATATACTCGTACTCTACGTTCCTGTGTTCTTCTGACCTATGCAAAATTGTAGAGTACGGCATAAATGACGCGTCAGTAACATGTATATCGTTACAGTGCTATTTATTGTGTTTCCGACCATGGAATTATTGATTTTTTGATTTAATTTTTCCTTTAGTTAATTCTGTAAGTGGGTGTGCTAATTTACTAAAATTTGGAATAAATCTACAAAAATAATTTGCTAAACCTAAAGAACTTCGAAATTGGGGAGGGAAAATTTTTGATAGCTAAAAATCCTTCTTCCGTGGGTTTTATACCTTGTCCGTTAATAATATTACTAAATAATTTTAGTTCAGTATAGCCAAATTTACATTTCAAAATTTTCAGTTTTAAGTTATACTTTAACAGTCTATTAAATGTTATTTCAAATGCATTGAGGCGATCTTCGAAAATTTGACCAAAACATACACAATCAACCAAATAGCAACAGTTAATTCTATAGGTTAATCCTACCATTATTTTATTCATAACTTTTTGAAATTTTTTCAGGTGCATTAGTTAACTAAAGGGTAATCTAGTAAATTGGTAATGTCCTGTTGATGTAGAAAAACTTGTAATTCCTTTTGAATTTTAATTGATGGAAACCTGACATTGCGTCTAAGCAAGAAATATATTTATTTCCCGCAAGTGAATTTTAAATATTTTGTATAATTGGTAAAGGAAATGCTTCTTTATGCGTTTTTTCATTAATGCGTCAATAGTCTAAAACCATTCTATACTCAAAGGCTGTTTTATTTTTTGTGCCTTGCGGTTAACCTTTTGGTACTAAGAAAATCGGTGACCAATAGGGACTTAATGAATGTTCAATTATACCTGCTTCTAATAATTCTTTAGTTTGCTTTTTAATTTCTTTTATTTCTGAAAGACACAATTTAAAATTTCGTAAATTTACTAGAATGTCGTCTAATAATTTTATTTCTATAGGCTCCACGTCTACTTCACCTAGATCCCACTTAGATTGCGAAAAAATATTTTTATATTTATTCATTAATTGTATTAATTTTCCTTTTTGCTGAGTTATTAAGTCTGGATTAATATCAAAATTAGATTTTGGAAAAAATCCGCAAAATTGGGATGTATATGTTCCGTATGCAATGTATTGCCATAACTCTTCAGTACACACTTCTACAGGATATCAACCGTATGAAATTGTGTACGGGTATCCTTTAGTAATTCCAAATTCGCAAAGTTGTAAGCCAGAAACTTGGAGTCTAGATTTTTTTGAATAACTGTCAAAGAAATAAAGAAATTGGTTTATGATTTTGCCGAAAAAGCTCATATTCTACATAACTTTAATAAAGGAAAGAGAGAAGCAGGATCGGACTGGTTAGCTGGGTTTCGTAAAAGAAATCCACAGCTATCATTACGTTCTCCGGAACCAACATTAGCTGCCAGAGCACAAGCTTAGGTTTTTTTTGACACTATGCGCAATGAAAACATATCAGTTGAAAAAATACACAATATGGATGAATCTGCATTGACAACGGTAAAAAAGCCATCAAAGATATTTGCTAAAAAGGGCAAAAATCAAGTAGGTGTATTAACGAGTGTCAAACGTGGGCAGCATGTTATAGTGGTTTGTTGTATAGGTTCATCTGGGAAATGTGTACTCCTGCTCTCATTTTTCCCAGAAAAACATTTAATGCTAATTTGTACGATGGAGTACCTTCTGGTACTTTGAAAATGTATCAGGACACCGGTTATATTACTGGAGAATTATTTATTGAATGGATGAATCATTTTATAAGGAATGTTAAACCTAGTCTTGAAGAAAAAGTGTTATTACTTCTAGATGGCCATTGAAGTCACAAAATAGTAGACGCACTTGAACTTGCTAAAAAGTCAGGTGTTGTTTTACTTTTTCTACCTCCTCATTGCACGCACAGACTTCAACCTTTGGATGTTGGTATTTTTGGTCCTCTTGATGTATATTTTAACCAAGGAATAGAAATTTGGTTAAAGGCTAATATAGGCAGAACAGTTGGACTCTATCAAATAGCTAACATTTTTGGTCGTGCTTATGTAAAAACAGTTACAATAAAGAATATTTTGTCATCGTTTCAAGCCTGTGGTTTAAATCCTTATAACCCAGATATCTTTCCAGATCATTTATTTGCTCCAAGTTTTGAAGAACCTACTAATGACACAAATATAATTTTTAAAGAACAAAATGAAGTAATTTTTTTAAGTATTGAAAATACTGAAGATAATGTGAATAATGTAACTGTTGCAGACATGGATACAAATTTTCAGACTTCATAATCATTACTTTCACCGATGCCTAGTTGTTCAAACACAGAAACAAACCTAAATACTTAAAATATTTCTTAAATAATACAAAAAATTTCAACTTTGCCAAGATGTTCCTTTACTGGCTCTAGAAAATCAAATAAAAATAGATCTACAGGAACTCAAGTGTTTACAAAAAGTCCACTCATAAAACAATTAAAAGAAAAAGAAAAATAATTTAAAAAATCCATGAAAATCAAATCTAAAAACACTCGGGCAGTTAAATGTGAAATTGATATTGTAAATGAAACTGTTGAAAGAGTTTATGATACAATTGATAACGAAGATGATGGTGATATATTTATTCCTGATCAACTACCAATACAGATACCACCTACTGATGAAGTAAGCGTAACAAATATTGTCTCAGATACAAATACACCTACAATACTCAAACAATTTTCAACAATCACTAAAAGTTCAATAAAGTGGTTATGTAAACCTATGAAACAAAAAAAAATAGTTCTAAGAAATCTTGAGCAGACAGAGTTCCCCAATACTATACCACCACCAATATCTTATTTTATGAAATATTTTCCGGAAGAAGCATTTAGTAAAATGGCCATATTTACTAATATTTATGCAGAGCAAAAATCAACAAATAAATAGATTCAAACAACATCTGCAGAGATGAAAGTTTTTGTAGGTATACATTTAATGATGGGTGTATTGAATTTACCAAGGGTCAGGATGTACTGGCAAAAAGAATTTAGAATTGAAGTAATTGTTAATAATATGACTAGAAATAGGTTTTTTGAACTGAGAACCCATTTCCATGTCATGAATAATGAAGAAATTCCACAGACAAATATAGATCAATTCATAAAAGTAAGACCTCCCTGTGTGCAATAATGTGATTTTGACTTCTATGCGATTGTATTTTAGTAATCTCAAGTGTGATATTACAATTATACTTCTATGATATGTTTATGAGACTATATAAAAATATTAGTTGTATAGTTTAAACTGAGCGACGTCGCAAATAGAATTCCATGTGACTGTCATTTGTAATATTACAAAGAAATTGTTGTCATGCAATTACTGGGATAGTTGTACTATGCGATTACTTATAGATGTAACAATATTATAATTTTAAATTGATTCAATGCGAGGTCTCTGAGATATTGTAGAGATGTATGCAAGTATTATCTACATATTAACAATAAGACTATAAATAGAAATAAAAAATATAATATTGTAATTATTATAATGAAATTGCAGCAATCGTCGTATCGCCGGGACATCCCAATTCAAACAAAGATTATAGTATAGTCTATATAGATACCACAGATATTATGTAAAAATAAATATTCATCAGTCATCATTTACCATTTTATCAGTTCGGCTTTTGCCAAGTTTTTTAGTTTTCTAAACGCGATTATAACATACAACGCGTCTACGTTTAAATTTGCTGGAGTGTTAATGTATTGTGCATTATACTGTGATTATACTAATTAAGTACCTATAATTAAAGTGAAACTGCAGGCGAATTGTGTAACTTATAAATTTAAAGTTATAACTTAATACGACGTTTGTTTAATTTAAATACGTAAAAAGCCTACCAATAGTGTGTGTATAAAGCGATCACCTAGTGTTAAACACACGATGTCATCGAAACAGGTAATTATATAAATTATAAGCAGATAATATATTTTATAATAGGTACCTAACCTACTCACTAAAATAGAATTTACTAATTAAATATAAAATTAAATTTTTTAAAAATTTAAAAAAATTAAAAATTAAATAAAAAAAAATTTAATTATTATTATTATTTTTTAATTAAATTTTAATTTGTACCTATTTGAAGAAATAGCAATTTTTAAATTAGTCCCTACTTATGACTTTTATGTTTGATTAAACTATAACTACCTATAAATTATAAAAACAGTTAAATTGTAATAATTTATTCATGTACTTGTGCTAGTATTTGTAAATCTATTTATTTATACAAAAACATATTACTTAGGATTTAAGTCACCCTGGTCTAATCCTTGGTCCTTGAAATGAAATGTTTTTTGTTTTTTTCTTGGATCAAATTATATAAATATAAGAATTGTAATTTTTCAATGTTTCATTTAATTCAAGTTAGATTGGTATTAATTTAACCAGAAAAATTAATTTCCTATAGATTAATAAATAATAATGTTACCTAAATTTAAAATTGTATTATTCATGCAATCATGCACTAATTTTATAATTAAAGTAAGTAGTATCTACCTAACCGGACCTAACCTTAATAATTTGAATGCATATTTTACAATTTTGCAGTGGGTCGTAGGCTATTTTAAAAAGGAAAATAAATATTCTGTGATACCGTTTACTTGGATTTTAAACTGTGGAAATGTTAATTTATCTAAATGGCCAATGTATGGTATAGTGGACTCAATGATTATGGAAGCAACTTATCCAGAGTTAGATTGGCCAACTTTTCCAGTCCAAATAGTTTCACAAATATTCAGTAAGTACCTACCTATTACAAATTAACTATTGGATAATTATAATTTTTATATTCTAAACAGTTTTAATTTGCTCACTAATCAAAAATAAATTGTTATATTTTTTACTTTAATACTTACCTACCTATACATATGATATAATTTATGTATAGGTACACCTACTAGTTTAAAAGGTTTTAAAAGTTTATTAATACCTACATGGCTAAATGTCAAATTAATTTAGTGAAAAACATAAAATATTTATAATATTCACTATACCACTATAATAAAATAATGTTTACTAATTTCATTATATTTAATAATATACTTCACAAATAAAGACACATTTGAGGATGCTAAGATAAAAGAAAAAGAACTATTCTTGTCTGCATCCGAATCTGAAAGTCCAGTAAAAAAAAAAAGAAAAAGCAGAAAGGTTTATCCAGCACAAATTGAAGTAGAAAGTGACAGTGGTAAGTATAGTTTTACTTTTCCAAAAATGGTAAATTATGCGTAGGTGCATTTAATTAACATTCTATAGTTATACTTAATAAAACAAAATATAAAAAACTTTGAATTTATGTTTTATTTTTGTATAACATTTTAATATTTTACATTTCTTTAAATATATTTACTTTTATATTATTAATATGAGAAAATTATTAATTATTAAAGTTACATAAATATCAAATTTAAAGCGATGATGGACTTAACTATTTATACCTGTTTATTACTTATTGTTAAAATACTAATTTTTGCATTACAGCTTGTAGTAGTACACACACAACTCCCATAAAAGTTTTGAAAACAAAGCATGTAGAAGACCACCAACAAAGTGGATCTTCAGCTTATGCCGAACTGCAGATAAATCAGATTTCTGATCAGTTATTACCCAGCAACATTATTTCTTGTATGTATTAAATTCATTTGTAATTTACTGATGACAGCAAAAATTAATTAATATGTTTAGCATCCATGAACACTTTATACGACACTGATGCTTATACTGCAGAGAAAGAGTTACCTATGTTTGAATTAAACACTCAGAGTGTGGACCATTCCATGTCAAGTATGTGTTTTATATAACATGCACTTGTTTTATTTTTGCCAAAAACTGGCTCAAAAATTATTATTTATAAAATAATTTATAATTTAGGCGTATCAACAGAAAATCAAGAAGAATTAATTAAAAAGTACGATGACAATATGATGAACAATTTATTTAAAAATGTAATTTCTATACTGGCATATATAAAACGATTGGACAGCAAAATAGATTCATTAATTCAAAACAATAATAATGTTCAGATAAATCAAACTTTTAACAATAATTTCGAGAAAATCTTTCCATTAAAAAATGTAGAAGCCGTGGATGACATGGAAAATAAATTAAAATTGGATGAAAACACTTCTGGTCAACTGGTATTTATGATATTATTATAATGTTTAAGTTATTAAAATAATTATTTACTACTTTTATTATTTTTACAGAGGAATTTACTGCAAAAAATTGGTGGCACAGGACTTAAAAACTTTGTTAAAAGAGTTTTGGAAAGAATATTCACAAATGAATTATCCACAAAATATTCATGGACCGGGTTTAAAGATAATCATGCTCTTAGAAATTTAAAAATTATAAAAATCATGAAAGGTTAGGTATTTGTATACAGATATTGATTTTTGTTAATGTTAATGCTTATGAAACTCACTATGTTGTATCATTTTTAGATGTTGCCAATAGTACTTTTTCTGAAACTGAAGCTAATTTTGAAGCACACATTAAAGACTGGTTTCGTCATGGTTCTCAAAGATATGCAAGAGAACAACAAAAAGAATCTTTATAGGCATCTAAATTTTAATTCAGTTAATACATTCATTCAGTCATTCAGTAAATACATTCATTCAGTCAATTCAATATTTAATATTTATTTCATTACTAGGTATTATTTTTTTTCAAAATAGGAAAACTAAAATGTATTTTGAAATTGTTTATCATATTATTATTTTTAATTGTTTTTCATTATTATTATTATTAAGAAGAAGTTATTTTAGTTTAAACTTTTATAGATTATATAATATGATTTAATCTTTTTATAATATTGCTCTAAAAATGTTCCTGTACATTATTATTATTTTAATATTTTAAGAAATAATAGAAATAATAACAAAAAGTTTACAAAATTTAAAAATATTTAGAGAGAACACACTTTTTATACATACACTTATTACTTATATTTTTTTTTTAAAGGATAGTACAAAAATGTTATTTGTATACATTATGCTTATTGATTATTATGTATAAAAAAAAAAATTAATTATATTATAAGTTATGTTGTTGTGAGATTTACAAACATTATTATTATAGATAATAATAAAAATTTTGATATTCAAAGTAATAATAAAATACCTACCTAGTAAAAACGTTTGGACTTAACCTAGTTTTAATTATCAATCCACCCATTGTCAAAGTAAAATATGCTTCAAATTCTTAATCTAGTTCAATATATAGGTATTTAAAAAAATACCAAACATGTAACGACCAAAGCAAAGATGGTTGCAATGGTTGCATACAGTTTAAAAAAATATGATAGTGTTGAAACCATATTAGAATGGGAATTGAACCTACCTATCTTGTATATGTAGATAGAATGGTAATTATTAAAAGATTCTTAATATCCTGTTGTAATATTAAATAAATACTAAATAGGTATACAAATAATAATTTGTGTCAAAATTAAATTATTACAATTTATAGGTAGCTGCAGTTATGTATTATTTATTAATTATTTTTAAATTTATATTTAGTTGGTTCTTCTATTCTAATGAATATTTTTGTTATCTCTTTTAATATTATTATGACTAATAATTAAATTTTAGTTCCGGAAAAGGAAAGCTATACATTCTACAACAAAAAGGCATTTTTCACGCTACATTCAAAATGATATATCAAATCAACTGTCATGTATTAATCACTTTACAAACACTTATGAGAGATCACAAGAACCTAAAATGAACTCAACAACAGACAATTTAGATAATATTTCAAACATGGATTTACAAATACCAAGTGCATGTAATTTACCATCACCGATTTCATTTGATAACTTTTCGAATGTAGTTAATTCTGAAGCTAGTTGTTCTGACAATTTTACTAGTAACATAAATGATAATGATTCCATTGATGAAATTCCTTTAAACCAAAAATTAAAACAGTGGATAAGTGATTATCATGTTTCTCATAACTGTGTTAATTCACTTTTGTTAATTTTGAGATCAGAAGGATTAAAATTGCCTAAAGATGCCAGGACATTATTAAAAACACCTAAAGCTCGTGAACATAGCATAATAAATGTTCACCCTGGAACATATATACACCTTGGGGTAGAATATATGTTAACTAAAATCTTAACTGTAAATCTTGACATTATTGAACAAAATACTACAATACAACTTGGATTTAATATTGATGGATTTCCTCTTACATCAAGTTCAAAATCAAGTTTTTGGCCCATTCTTTTAAGTTTTGTAAATATTCCTCAGTTATTCAATATTGTAATACCAGTGGGTATTTATCATGGAAAGTTTAAAAAACCGTCATCTAGTCATGAATTTTTACAATATTTTACTTCTGAAATGAAAATAATTTTAACTAACGGAATATGTATACAAGATAAATTAATGAAATTTGAAATTAGTCAGGTTGTATGTGATGCACCTGCAAAGTCATTTATTTTAAACGTGAAAGGCCATAATGCCTATCATGGGTGTAATTCCTGTATCGTTGAAGGAACATATATTGATAATAAAAGGATGGCTTATCTAGATTTAAATGCCCCTTTAAGATCAAATCAATCATTTCGAGACAAACAGGACTCATTTTATCACAAAGACTCAAGTCCCTTAGAGGAATTTCCAATTGATATAATTTCTACAGTGGTCCTTGAGTATATGCATAATATTTGTTTAGGGGTTATGAAGAAGCTAATTGTATTCTGGGTAAAAGGTAAAAAACCTGTTCGTTTGGTAGATCCGAACGCTGTTTCAGAAGAATTGATTAATCTTAAATGTTATTTACCATCAGAATTTAATCGCTTGCCCAGATCACTTGAAGAATGTGAACATTGGAAGGCAACAGAATTTCGCACTTTCCTTCTCTATACGGGCCCTATTGTATTAAAAGGACGATTGAAAAAACCACTATTTAAACATTTTATGCTTTTAAACTATGCCATAAGACTTCTTATTTCTTCAGAAAATTGTTATACCCAAAATAATTTAGCTAAAGACATGTTAAAAAGATTTGTACAGGAATATGGTTCTCTTTATGGTGAAGGATATGTTGGATATAATGTTCATGGTCTGATACATCTAGCTGATTTTGTTTTGATACATGGCCATTTGGATTTATTTAGCGCATTCAAGTATGAAAACTATTTACAGTTTTTAAAAAAAAGTTGTAAAAATGATAGATTTCCTCTCCAAGATGCATATAACCGCATCATGGAAAATATTGAAATTCAAATTAATAAAATTATATCTCCAATAATATATCCTACATTGAAACGAGAGTCAACATTTAATACTAATTCAAATAATTCATTAACTGAAACTATGTATGAAGAAGTTGTATTAGAAAAATTTTTGGTGAGTTCAAAAAATGCTAAAGATAAATATTTTATGTTGCAAAATAATGATATAGTCGAAGTTACCAAAATAATAAAATATTATAATGGTCAGATTAAAATTGAAGCAACTAAATTTGATTATTCACCCATGTTTGATTATCCATTTACCTCAGATATTACAAAAATATTTTATATCAAAGAAATTATTCCAAAAATTCAACCAGTTTTAATCAACATAAACAGTTTAAAACATAAATGCTTTGTGACACCAATAGGTAATTGTAAATATATAGCTATCGCATTACTACACTCATCATAATATATTTTATATAATTATAACTTAAAAATCAAAAAAAAATTGTCATACCTACATACCTATCAACTAATAGAATCATAGTCTCATTAATTATTTTACCCAAGTTGAAGGTATAAGTTATAACTTAAAATAGTATAATATACTTAAATAATTATAACATATATATTATATATATTATAATTAGGTACATTTAAATGTATTTTTTTTTTATGATCAATTGTATTTGCATTGTATACCTACATAAAAGGTATTGTCTACTTCTATTTTATTATATATATAATAACATGTTCTTATAATATATTACCTATAATACAATTATCCAAATAATTTGTTGTCTATTTTTTTTTTTTATAATAATATAGTTAGCTATAGGTACCTACCTATATTATCAAATATAATTTATTACATACCTACCAATATTAATTTTAATACATAAATATGACAAAATGTTTTAAATTTCAAGAAGGTATCTTATTTATAACTATAGGTACATTTAAATAGGTGCTTGAATTTTTTAATAATTAGTAGGTATATCTAATAAATTATTTACTTATCAAACAAAATGTATTTTATTGTATTATGATATTTATTGTGTTTAATTAGTAAGTAGGTATACTACCACCTATATTATTATAAGTATGTAAATATATTAATATTTGAGTCCAAATTAAATTGTTCATGATTTGTTTTATTTTATTTATTTACATATAGTTAGGTATAATAGTTATAGACACTTATAGGTCCCATTAAAATGGTTATATAAATATATAATATAATATAACATATATAATATACCTAGGTAGTAGGTATAGTACCTACCTAATAATTACCTATATTTTGTAAACAGTAATTAGGTATTAACTTACTTAAAATGCTTTAAAAACTCTGTGTCAGTTTTATTATGTTCAACCATTATTACCTACTCATTGAAGTAAAATTAATATTTTTATGAAAATTTGTAATTAACGATTTTATTTTTAAAATACCTAGGTATTGATTAAGTAGGTAATAAGTATGATTGTATATTAATTATTAATTAGTATGTATACCTAGTTGACAATTAATATGAATAGGTAATATGAAATGAAACAATTTATTCATTTATATTAGGGGGTAATGCTTTTCGCACGTAAATAGTAAAATGTATTTCTATTTTAATGTTTAAGTACTTATTTACACCAAGTATAAACTACAGAAATATTTACAATTATAAATGATAGGTATTAAATACACTAAAATGTTAGCACCGATAAATCGTGTTAAGGTGTCCCAGTAGGTTAGGCGTAGGTTAGAAGTGTCAGGGGTCTAGGTTTCGAATCCGTCCGGATGCAAAAAATAACAAAAACCATCCGCGAACGCGCGCGCCCGACATTGGTTTTTTTTTTCATGAACATCAATTTTGTGAGTTCTATATGAAGTCGATGCGATGAAATTGGGTTGTTCAATGTATCTCAACAAGATGACCTATGGAAGTTAGTGTGACCACACATAGACCATTGTTTTGCGACATCGCATGCAGTAACTTCGCGTGTCTGGACATTAAGCATCACATAAGAGTCTCTGAGACATCTCTAGGCTCTAAATTTGAACATCTCACTGCTTAGTGAGAGGACTATGTAACGTCTCAGAGATTATATTTTGCACACAGGGCTCTTTATAATTATATGAAACATAGATTTAATCATCTGCCAATCGAACGAAATATAAGCATTGATGAACAAATGGTTCCTTTTAAAGGTAAACTTGCTCCAAAACAATATATGAGAGGTAAACCTCATCCTTGGGGTATTAAATTATTTATAATGTGTGGTTCAAGTAGAATAGTGTATGATTTCATCATGTTCCAAGGTAGTAGTACTGAATTAGACCCTGTTATTCAAAATCTATTTGGCCAAGGTGAAGCAGTAGTAATGAAATTTATAGAACGTCTGGAAGAAAATAGACATTTTTTGTATTTTGACAATTACTTTACCTCTTATAATTTATTGTCTGTACTAGCTGACAGGAAAATCTATGCTGCTGGGACCATTAGAGTCAATCGATTTGCTAACCCTCCACTTATAACAGATAAATGCTTATCAAAAATGGGTCGTGGAACTTCTTATGAAGTATCTGAAATAGCACAAGGCCAAAAAGGTGAAATAGGTCTCATAAAATGGTTTGACAATAAAGGAGTTAATCTGGGTTCAAATTTTATAACATCTGGTGAACCTGAAACAATCAAGCGCTGGGACAAAAAACATAAAAAATTTGTGGATGTTGAAAGACCAGAAGTCATTGGCTTATATAATAAGTCAATGGGAGGAGTAGATGTCCATGATCAACTTGTCAGTTTTTATAGAACTTTTATCAAGTCTCGAAAATGGACATTGAGGTTAATTGCTCATGCTTTTGATATGGCTTCTGTTAATATAAAAAAGATATTCGACACTATGCAATTTTAGACCGAGACACAATGGACCTACTTGCATTCAAAGAACGTTTAGCAACAACTCTAATTTCATTAAGAAGAACAAAATCATTTATAACTCCTCCGAGGAAAAGAGACCGCCCTAGTGCATCATCATCTCCAACTCCTGAACCTGAAGCACAGATGGTAAGAACAAAACCTAGATCTGTAGATTCAACTCCATATGAAGAAACCATAAAAGATGGATTTGATCATATGCCTACTTTTGACAACAAACAAAATAGTACTAGATGCAAAAATGCCCCATGTACATTCAAGACACATGTTTATTGTGACAAATGCAATATACATTTATGTTTTGTTTCTGGGCGAGAATGTTACCGACAAAAACATAGAGTAAAAAACTAAAACCAAATTTTTATTATTTTTTTAGCTATTTTTAATTTTTATTATTATACATGACCTAGTCAAAAAGGATTAGATTTATATTCATTTTTTATAATTTAAGTACATATTACCATTGTTATAACTATTTTTAATTTTTATTATTATACATGACCTAGTCAAAAAGGATAAGACTTATATTCATTTTTTATTATTTTACATGACCTAGTCAAAAGGGATAAGACTGTTGTATTAATTTTTTGAAATTTAAATAAACAATATATAATAGCATAATATAAAGTTTGTTTTTATTCAAATTATGACTGCGTAAGAACCCAATGTCCCTTGCAGAGGAAAATCTAATATCTCATTAGGATATAACTAAAAAAAAATTTTAAGAATTTTTTTAGTTTATTTATATACATTTACTACATATTTAGTAAAAAAAAATTCTTACTTGAAATATTTAATTCTGGGTCTGAAAGGGTTAAGAATCCATCTATTAAGAATACAAAAAAGAAACAAGAAGAAAAAGTAATTAGAAAATCAAAAAGATCAGTAAACCGCAAATTATTTTTATATGTTTCAACTGAAAACTATGTTCAAAGTGAAAGTGATAATGATGAAGAAGAAGTTGCTTGTCTTTATTGTAATGATTTGTACAAATATTCTAAATCTAATGAGACTTGGATACGTTGTAATTTTTGTAAAAAATGGACGCACACAACCTGTGCAGGTATTGGTTTTGAAGTAAAATATTTTGAATGTGAGTTATGTAAAGAAGACTGCACAAGTTTTAAGGTTAGTCTAAGGAAGACTAATGTTCTATTACCAGACAATATTTTATAAGTTTTTATTATGTTTTTATAGAATTAATCTAAGGAAAACTTATGTTCTATTAACAAACAGTATTTTTTTGTTTTGATTATGTTTTTATAGAATTTTATATATAACTAAAGTCTTATTGTTTATAATAATAATAATAAAAAAATGTATCTATTAAATAAACTATTACATTCCAACAATTTTATAATTTATTTCTATTGCCAAGTATACAATGGTTGCTTATACAAATGGTGTATGTCATTTTATCCTATATTCCAAGTAAAATGACAAAGTAGGTACATTTAAAAAAAGTGAATTAAAATCATTTGTTTGTCTTAAATGTACAATTAGAGTTCAGAAATATGTGTATAATATAAACAGAAATATGTGTATAATATAAACAGAAATATGCTGCTCAATTTTCATGTGTTGACTAACATTATTTCCTTCAATTTTTTTTAATTAAAAAATGGTATGTCATATTAAACCAGTCTCCCCTAGTTTTAATCTAAGCTTTCATCATTAATTTCATTCAGTGTTTAGTTAAATAAATCGGTAGTTGTTATAAACATTCAAACTCGTGTTATTTCGTTTTTCTGTATTACCTGAGTTCTGAACGTCATACCACGGTCAACCATACTTCAGGGTGTTGTGAACCCCTGTATATAATTATATAATATAATACAAGTTAGTAAGTAAGTATTTATTATTGTGAACGGGCAGAATGACACGGTCCCACGGTCTGAAAGAATTCGCTGTGTGGACAGTTTTGGGGCTGAGCGAGCCCCTTCCGTGTTTCGCTGTCTGTACAAGGATCAGTGTTGTACTGTCAGAGCATCCAGCTGAACCTCCGTAAATTATAATTCGTTTTTCTGTTTAAAAAGGTTTTATTGTTGTATAATTTAATAAATTATATTATAGTGTTTAACGAAATCACGTTTAATTTATTTATGACTACTTGGTTGTGGAAACGTCCATAACCGGCTCGACGTCCGAGGTCTCATTATAACTGACCCATATTTTTTTTAATTTTCAATGTACTTTTGAGTAAAATTAGTATTTTCATTAAAACATTTATTCATATAAATTTTTGGTATAATACTCATCTGGAATATTTTTGGCTTTATGTTCTTTTAAAAAAATGCGAAATAATTTGTTCTTCAATTAATTGAATGAAATATTCACGGATCTAGGACGTTTCGGTGAAAATTAATAGAAAAAATTTAATTTAATTTAATGTAAAATTGTATTTTATAATAAAATAAATACCATATTCATTTTAATTCATAAATAAATAAATAAATCAAAATAATTATATTTATTTATAGTCATGTATACGCTGTTGAGCTCTTAGCTGGCAGTTGGCTCGACAACTCGCACCGTACAACGGTTAAAAAATACCAATATTATATATTCACACAAGAATCAATAAATAGGGAGACCTATAAATTATAATATAAATAACACCAAACTCCGGTTTATAAATAACAATAATAATAGTATAATATTTAACAATAAATCGATATTAGATATATATATATAATACATATAAATATGCTGTGACTATCAAGAAGTACTCTCAACAGCATAATATACAAATCGCACGTAAATAGCAATAATATAAAAACTTATCGATCCCGGTGATCGCTAATCAGTCCGGCAGTTAAAATAGATATCCAAGGACGGACGACGTCGGGTAACGACCCATAAAATCGCCGAATAAAGATATAGATGTATCTCTGGGTCGACTCCGGCAGCGCGACACTTCAAGTAAATTATATATATATATATATATTGCGGACGTAATAATAAATATAATAGGTAATATATATGGACTGTATTGCAAAATTCAATGCCCACGACACGATTTCGCGCTTCACTCTCTTTAAAATATGTTTTGGAGTCGAATGGAAGTGACGAAAAGAAACGTGCACGGAACACACCGTACACGTCCGGTCGCATAAAGTCCAGTGGAAGATCGACCCAAAATACGACGTCGGTGACCACGACGCGACGTGATCACTTCAAATATAAAGACACACAAATTACTTTATTATACGCGGTAATTCGTACCTTCACCTTTGGCTATTGACGAGTAACTAAAAATTATAAAATTATCTGACTAGTCTACAGCCAAATCAACCATAAATGATCGATTATCGTAACTATCTTATCGTATAGCTGTGTATTATAGATATAAGTTTATTACTATGAGTATATGCTGTATTTATCACGCGCTGAAAAGTACTTTGACGTAACGTCGAAACGTCCGCGCTAAATTTTAGGCGCCGAAACGTCCCATTCTCAATATTTACATATAGAATAGCCATACGAAGTTCTTTATTAAACAAATAATTATCATTGCTAAATACGTTATTTAAAGATTGTTGTCGTTTTCATTTTTTTTTCATCGATGTGAATGCAATCTATGCATATGTTTTTCTCTTGTTATATGTTGCTGAATCGAAAATTTTTTTCCCAACAGCGACTTAAATATCACAAATTTTACAAAGTAAAATAGTCCCATCTGTTAAGACGTTTCTTTCGGATATTATTTAACATTATTCAGATCACGAACATAAATTAAAAATAAACGGTAACATCACCGTGATGTAATACGAACTGACTAATTATTTATTATTTGTCCGAGTACGCGCTCCATTGTCAATAATTAAGATAAGATAAAAACTGAATAGAAAAATAAAGATTGATAATATGTATGGAACAATCTGATAAACCTATTAAACGAAAATAAAACTTAAATATCAAGAAAATAATTTATCTTTAATAATATTTGGAATAAGCTAAATGTGTAGAGTAAATTGAACAATTAATATGCATTAAAAAATCACAAAAAGACCGAATAATTCTAAAAATGATAAAACGTTATAACACACACAGAAAAAAAAAATGCTAAATAAAAATTTTGGCTTAGAAATATTCGTTACACGAAACGAATTATGTACTTGGAAAACATTGTCGACGATCAATTAAAATAAAAAAAAAAAAAATGTTATAATTAATAATGAACAGTCATTTAACAGTAGAAAAATAATTAAATAAATACAATTTAAAATGTAGATTGATAATGTTTAGACGCAGCTTTAACGAATTGCATAATGGTAATATTTTTTTCCTTGAATATAGGTTGCTATTTAAATGTTTTTGGCGAGTTTTTGATTGGGAACTTCTGAGATAAATGATAATAAGGTTCGTTAATACTATTTAATTTAATAAATGTGAATGATTGATTATATAAAAAAAGCTTTTGTAATATTATAAATATTTGGATGTGTGTTTTCAAAGGATTGAGCTAAATGTGAGTGAAACGACTCGCATACATTCGTAGTCAAATGTAATTCAACGCTACATTGGGCCTAAATATTTGGTGGAAATATTGCTTCTTCTGAAATGTAGGTGTCTAACATCTGCGAATTTTGTAAGTTTCGAGTTTTCGGGTTTTATGAACATTAATTCTATTGCAAAAAATTAGAAATATCATTCAAGTCCAAAAATATTAACCCAAAGCAAATTCTAAGCCAATCACCTACTTCGGTTTTTGTTTTATAGTCTACTGTTAATATCGACTGCCCCAACGAAAAAGGTCGTATTTCGTTTTTTTTTCAATATTGAGTTAGTACTACAACATCTACAACTATAGTCTATAATCACGGAACCGACGAATAAGGTCGTATCTATTATTTTAAATTTTAAGTGATAATACTATCAATTTCAATTAATTATTCATTCATCATTGTTCAACCAGAACATTTTTGAAGTTCATCAACATATTTTATAATATTATATTATAATCCTGATGTATTA